CACTGAATATCCGGACAGAATTGTGTTTAGGGCCAAAATATATTGTTTTAACAATTATTTTCTGATATCAGAAATATACAGTTTGACGTTGACACGTTTTCTGGAGATTCTATTCTTGAAATGACGTAAACAACGACGGACTACTTACACATTCCCGAGGAAAGCCCTTGGAATTCCCTATTACGAATAAATATTACGTTGTTCCTGATCATTTAGACTCTTTAAACTTGAATTTGACGTTTTAGCATACATTGTGATACGTCAGAGAGTTTGACTGAATGCCCTTTCACGAATATCCTCGTTTCGGCCCACTTTGTGAAAAGAATTAAGAAATGCACATTCAAACTATCGGCGGGCGGTCGGGTAGCCCAGTGGTTAAAGCGTTCGCTCGTCACGCCGAAGACCGGTTTCGATTCCTGACATGGGTACAATGTGTGAAGCCCATTCCTGGTGTCCCCCGCCGTGATATTGCTGGAACATTGCTAAAAGCGGCGTATAACCATACTCACTCACTCGCTCAAACTATCGGCTCTATCAGTGTCTAGACTGACAAGTGACAGTCTACAGAAATTAAATTTTTTTTTACCTCAGTATCCCTTTAACACATCTTTATAATCATTTTTCAATGATGACTATCACTTGCAATCGCCCACATTTATGACCAACTTCGAAAAATCTCTCCCGTCACGTTTATCGTGTCGGCCATTTTGACTTCCTGTATTTGACATAACTGTATTACGACCTGCTGATTTGTTATTACACTTGTACATACAACAAAATAAACTGTGCATTGAATCTTTTATTAACGTTTAATGTATATATACACATGAAATAAATTACACGTCCAACATTGGCTATGTACAATATAGTCACTGATGAAATAAATAATAACAATTCGTCCAAAATATACAAATTATCCATTCAGATTCCCTCCTTGAGACGAAGCACTTCAGGCTGCACCGGTTGTCTTCAAGAAGGAGTGAGTGAGTATGGTTTTACGCCGCTTTTAACAATCTTCCAGTAATATCACGGCGGGGGACACCAGAAATGGGCCTCACACATTGTGCCCATGTGGGAATCGAACCCGGGTCTTCAGCGTGACGAGCGAATGCTTTAACCGCTGGCTACCACACTGGCCCTCAACAACAAGGACAATTTATACAAATAGTATTATCTGCAATATCATAACTTATACACACGTATCAATACAAAGCACTGTAGAGTCAAGATCACTGCATGGCTCGCTTGAGTTTAGCACGTGCATTCTGGAACCACACTTGGGCCACTCTTCTGGGAAGACCCGCCTCTTCTGCGATCATCCCGAGGTCATTTCCGGTGGGGTTGGTGTCAAAGTCGAAGTACTTCTGTAAAACAGCTACCTGGTCTTCGTTGAAGGCTGTTCGGAATCTCTTGGATTTGGGTCGGCAGGTGACATTCTCGTCGTCGGGGTTGAGGACGTGGACTCGGCAAAGTACGCGGCCGTCGTGGATGGCGAAGTCTTCTCCTGTGGAAAGCTGTCTTTGACACATGCTGCACGAGAAACATGCCAGGTGGTACATGTTCTCTCCGGCCGATCTGACCCAATCTCCGGACTCGATGTTACGTAGACAGGAACTACACTTGGTCTCTTGAACGCGGGCGAAGTCTCTCTGGCAGAATATGTTTCCGCCCCTAACGAAGCAAGAAGAATGTCCACCAAGCGTCACCTGACACACACAGCAACGCAGACAGTGCTCGTGCCACACGTGATCCCCAGCACGTAGATAGAACTGGTCAGTGATGACCTCACAACACGCGAAACACAAGGGGTCAGCTATGTTGAAACTGAGAGCGATGAAGTCCCCAGACTCTTCCAACTCCGAGGAGAGGAGGTCATATGACATGTCCGACATTGTGAAGGTGGACAGGAGAAGCTAGAGGAATTTTTTGTGGAGATCTGATTAAGGAAAGAATGATGATTTCAGCAGACAACGGTCTATTTATACGCTAGGCCTGGCATCTTAGAGTGAACAAGAGTGTCATGATGACGCGAGATCAGTGTTTATACACGCTATGACGTCAGGGTGATCCTCCGGGCCTTCATCACTTAATAATCATTTAATCATTGATACTTAGCGTTGCATTGTTTCCATGTCCTTGATGAGCTCGCTCACCATGGTAGTTAACGATGCTTGAAGTATCACACAGACAACAAATATATGATTTCATCAAAATAATTCTCAAAATACACACTGACAGCGGCCATATTACATACAATAGATAACATGTATTTGCCAGATGTAAACTAAAATATTACTCTGACAAGGTATTATGATGAACATATTTCAAGAGAACTTGTTTCAAATTAATTGACACTGTTCCAAATATGTTTATTAGACAGTCATTGTATTACTGTACATACTGCACGCTACACATTTACGTCATACACCTCTGCCAAACAGTCAAACAAATCAAGTTGTTTGATGAAGGGATAAACCGATATAAACTAACGTGTTGCGTTTATTCCCTACATTATTCGCTACATTAAATGATTGGGCTCAGTTTGGCTCGGTCCATGGTGAATTTTCAGTTCAGTTTTCAGAGTATCTCATATAAATTTTCATTATTTTAGACTCCTTCTATTATCATATTTGAAAAGCCATGTGGTGCTTTGAGGTCAAACAACTTATGAATCGCTCCCAAATCTATTAATAAAATATAAAAGTATTCGGTTCGAAGCAGATTGGCATATTTAACGCTCATTTAATCACGTGCATTTTCAGTGTAAGCTGTTTTGTCTTTTTAAAACAATAACATCATCTCAGATACAGTCTGAATTGAACACGAGTTTTGTTTATTTTCCCACTTTTTTTCCTGAGATAGAACATAGAGAAACAACTAAAAAAATGCACTCAGTTGTCCTTCAGGTGAGATAGTTCAACAGTTATACCTTCCTCATTGGTTCATAAGGGGCCGGTCGTTTGATATTCTGTAGGGGCATGTGTTTGAAAAAGAAAAACAATAGCCTTATGTTTTCCACACATATAAACCATGCTGGATGTCCTTACAAGTGTTTGGCTCCTTGTGTCAGAGATATGTCTTGTATGGCCTGAAGTGCGGATTAATAAATATTCTGTCTCAAACAAGTACACGAAGCCACCTGGACTACTTAAGGTCGGACCGTTAGGCACATATGAGAATGTATTTGCTCATCTCATGTTGTGTTTTAATTGTAAACATGTAAAAGGGGCGGTCGGGGAGCCCAGTGGTTAAAGCGTTCGCTCGTCACGCCGAAGACCGGTTTCGATTCCCGACATGGGTACAATGTGTGAAGCCCATTCCTGGTGTCCCCCGACGTGATATTACTGGAAACTTGCTAAAAGCGGCATAAAATCAAACTCAATCACTCACTAAAGATGTAAAAGATGAAGCACATGCTTTGCTGCCATGCCCATTATATAGATGAATTATGGCCACCCATGTAAATGTATGCTTTAAAGCATGAGCAAGTTTTTATTCGTTAACTGATAGTTAAATGTGTCCTTGATATTATTACCCTGGCTTGACCTCTTATGGTCCCAGAATCTTCTTAAGTATTTTAGAACACGGGCGCGATGTGTCATTTAAATAGACATGTATCATATTGTATCATATATAGTCTTGCATACACCGCCAAGTGACTGGTCTTAAATGTATGTATACTTTTAGTATGTACACTCTAAAAAAACAAATTTGATTTTTTTTTTGGTAACATTTGACACAAGAGCCATCAAATTATGTTGTTCCGTGTATTTATGCATGATATAAACAAACACAGTAATGTCATTTTGTTACACAGTCATCATTCGTTGTCATGGGAGTAAATATTTTTTGTAACAATCGTTTTCTGGCCCTTCACGTTAATGTTGAGTGTGAGTTACATTGTGTGTTAGAATACATGTTTTAAACATATTCATTTTCACAAAAATGTGAACATGGATTGGTAAACAAGCGTAACGCTTATGTTAATACCGCTCCATTACACAGAAGGTTAGATGTAACAAATCAATTGTACATGCCAAGCTAGATGTGTGTATATATAATAAATATATTTGCAGTTTATATTAAACAATTCATTTAATTGAAAATCTGCCAGTTTTTAATATGAAGTTTTGAATAGAATCTAATGTTTGGATTTGCTCTTCCTTAATCAAATGCGAATTTCCGCACAGCACTGTTTGTAAAGAATAACCATGTTGGTAAAAATACATTTCGAGGAACATAGTAATTTGTACGCACAAAAAAGAAGTGTAAAGCATCTTCGGTATGATATCCACAGGAACAAGTTTTTTTTGTATCAAAAATATATCTATCATACTGATCTGTGTTAAGATCGCTGCAGCCAAGCCTGAGGCGACTGTGAATAATTTGACATAATCTTTTTCCATAATTTAAATCCAAGTGTATAGCACTGAATACATGATAAAGTTTTTATTTATTTGTATGTAATATTTAAGAGTGCGGCTATAATAAACCCTTCTGTTTGTCTAAGTGAATGAATAGTAGGCATTAAGAAACAATTGACTCGGAGTACTGCACTAATTGATCAATCTGTTGGACCGTAACTGTAGATATGACTCGTAAATACATCTCAAGCCTTAATCAGTCAATGATTGAACTACTGATAGAGTCAATCAAACCGCCGCGATGTGGTTCGTGACGGCGCGTGTCAACATGGCTGACACTGCCGTCACGCCCGAAGTCGTTCACTCAGTATGATGCACCGTAACTGGGAATATGACGCGTAAATACATCTCAAGCCTCAATCAGTCAGTGATTGAATATTGATGGAATCAGTCAATCCGCGGCGAGATTGTACGTGACGGCGCGTGTCACCATGGCTGACAGTGCCGTCACTCCCGAAGTCATTCACTCAGTCTGATATGCGTAGAAGTATATAACGTCATGGACGCACCGTCAGTCATCCTCATCCTCTCTCGTCACCTGAACAGCATCTACATCTGTAACGTCGTTCGTCCGCCATGTCCCACTCGTCGTATATGTCCTCTTCAGCGTCGGATCTCGAGGATGAGATACATTCCTATCTCACCAGTCTCAGCCCGGACCCTCATATGCCCATCTGTTTCACGTGCTGTGACGTCATCACTGATCAGTACTATCTACGCGCTGGGGAACATGTGTGGCACGAGCACTGTCTGCGTTGCTGTATGTGTCAGGTGACGCTTGGCGGACATTATTCTTGCTTCGTTAGGGACGGTAACATATTCTGCCAGAGAGACTTCGCCCACGTTCACGAGATCAAGTGTAGCTCCTGTCTACGTCCCATCGAGTCCGGAGATTGGGTCAGATCGGCCGGAGAGAACATGTACCACCTTGCATGTTTCTCATGCAGCGCGTGCCAAAGACAACTGTCCACAGGAGAGGACTTCGCCATCCACGACGACCGCATACTATGCCGAGTCCACGTCCTCAACCCCCACGACGACAACGTCACCTGTCAACCAAAGTCTAAGAGATTCCGAACAGCCTTCAACGAGGACCAGCTCGCCACTCTTCAGCGCCACTTCGAGATGGACCCCAACCCAAATAGCCTTCACCTTGACCAGGTCGCCATGGACGCAGGTCTGACGAAGAAGGTGACAAAAGTCTGGTTCCAAAATGCACGTGCAAAACTGAGGAAGTTAAAGCACTAATTTCTGTTGCTCAAGATGTACTTACAACATGACAAAAAATCGGTTATGTTTAACATGCAATGTACAGTAAAGTACGGTTATAACGAACCCAAAGGGACTACTTATTTTAGTTCGTTATAACCGTAGTTCGTTATAAGCCTATATACAGCATAACTACAGCAAATAGTCGGGACCAAAAAAGTAAGTTCGTTATATCCGTCAGTTCGTTATAAGCGTGTTCGTTATAACCGTACTTTACTGTACATACATCTTACAAAGCAGCGGTTCTGCTAGAATCGCTTGTTCATGGTGCTACCTGTGTACATATCTTCCCAGGCTTTGTGTTACATATTGTACTTTGTGTCCGTCTTCTATGTAGATGTATATAAATAAACAGTGAAATGAACTTCATGTCAGTCATATTTTTCCAGTAATTAGCATGTACCCACTTCGATAAATATACCCACTTGTTACCTTTCTAGAGGGGCGGTCGGGTAGTCCAGTGGTTAAAGCGCTCGCTCGTCACGCTTAAGACCCGGGTTCGATTCCCAGCATGGGTACAATGTGTGAAGCCCATTTCTGGGCCACCCGCCGTGATATTGCTGGAATATTGCTAAAAGCGGCGTAAAACCATACTAACTCACTCACCTTTCTTGAGCCCACGTCTGGAAGGCAAGTGTTTCCTGACTGCATGTGTTCGGACTAACGTAATTTCAAAATATAGATTAAGTGAAGTCTTTCACGAATGTATACGTAAGAGGCGACTAATGGGACTTGGTTAATGTATGTCATTGTATCATTGGTAATGATGTCAATCACTAGATTATCCGACCCAGACTCGATTATTTACAGATAACGGTCTTATAGTTGGAATATTGGCGACAAACAAACGAATTTATACACCTTATTATGAGTACTGGTGTGTTTGGTGTAAAACGTTGGCTTCTACTTCAGAGGTTCCCGAATCTTTGACATTCCACAATATACTGGCGCGGGCTTGGATTGCACTGTGATCTTAGGCGCCGCAATTCGCTGTGCAGAGTTGTGTCTCTTGGGCACCCCAGAAACCTATGATCGTGGGTTCGAATTCCGGTTCGCCTGATGTTTCTAGGTTTGTTAGAATCGTGCTTGTGGGTTTCACCAAAGTAAACGTCTGAGACCTGCATCGTCTCAGGCTATCCATCCACATTATTTTTACACGCAGTGAAACAAATGGAACACTGTTAAAGCGGACTTAAACCCAACTCACTCACTCTGCATATGACAATAACAGTTAATTGTCGTCATCTTGAATGATACCGTCCTTCAGAAGCACCACACGCCATTTAACAGTTAAAATGATTGATGTAGAGACCAACTCCCACATACAAAAAACAGCAGGTTTCATACCAGTGTTCATACCAGAGTGCATACCACCGACAGACGACAAACATACACAGATATTCATTTGAACCAGCGACAATTCTTAAATAGTCTTAACTGTATCAAGCTCCTCCGTTTTGATGAAATATCTAACGAGCAACAAAAGAATACTATCCTATACATTAATTATGGTTTACGACTTCGCAACCGTCTTTGTACAAATGATGTTTAATTATTCTTTAGGTTATTTGCCTTCATTAATCAAATGCTTTTATCTCTTCTTGTTGTGTTGTGTTGCGACTTATTTTTCACAAAATTGAACACGTGCACATCTCTGTGCATATAAGTCTGCATGTTTATACTTCTACATGTACAAAATTGTATATATATAATGTTACTGTATGTATATGGGCCTATGGCCAGAATACAATAAATGATGATGATGATGATGAAATAGTCTTAACTGTATCACTGTAACACCGCTGTCAATATACCTGCTTTTTATATATCAATACGTGTGATCCATTTTACAAAACAGAAATTTAACTTCTTTGAAGTTCTAAAATAAACTTTTAAGCCGCATATTGCATAGTTTACATATCCATGATCGGCAAATCCTGGCATCACAACAACAAAACAACAAAATAAAAATTAAAAAATCCTGGCATCACATGTACAGCCGATCACCGGATGATGATGTTTGATATTGTACGTGCGCTTCACGTGGAGCCAATTCCGCTCTCGCTGCATTACCTGTGTTGTTCTTAAATAAACTATTCTTATGTTTCGCAATCTGATGGATAGAGTCTGGCAGGAGGACGGAAGGTCGGTAGTTCGATCCCTGTACGCGTCATACCAAAATTCGTTAAAAGATGGTACTTGTTACCCCGCCTTGCGCTCAGCATAAGTGGATAAAACAAGGACTGGTAGGCTCGGAGTCGGTATAGTGAGTGAGGATGGTTTTAGCAATATCCCAGCAATATCACGGCGGGGGACACCAGAAATGGGCTTCACACATTGTACTCATGTCGGGAATCGAACCCGGGTAGTCGGTGTGACGAGCGAGCGCTTTAACCACTAGGCTACCCCACCGCCCCAACTGTGTTTGAGTGGAGTATTCATGTTAAAACGTACGGTAAGGTATCGTAGGGGGCTAGCACAAGGAAACCGACAACAGTCTGGAATAGTGCAAGCAGTCACACACACATACATACACGTCATTATTTTAAAGAAATAATTGTATTATACATATTGGGAGTCCAGTAACAGGAAATCTTCACTAGACAGCTAGACTAATCCAGCATGGTATAGAACCTCTGATCTCACATTACATCTCACATTACATCAAGACCAGCTGCTGTGTAAAGATCATTCAACCCTGGCTATCCAACCTCGTCCTGTTTTGGCAGCTTGACGACTGTTGTTGCGAGCTGGATATTATGAAGAGGAGTTATTCTCCATTCTTTAAAAATAATGGAGCAGAGGCCCATTATTTTTAAGGGATGGAGAGTTACGAGGATATTCCCCTACTTAAAACTCCTCCCTACTTTAACACTTTGACAAAATATCTGTTGTGGAAAATATTTTAAAAATAAACCCGACCTCTTTGTTCACTGTATTTATACCTTGTGAATCGCCCTTGCGTCATGCACGAGGAACACGTTCTCTGTCGCTGTTTCTCGTGCACCAAGCTTCGTCGCGAGATGACATTTACAATGCATGGTACATGGCTCTTCATAATTTCGTTGGGTCCTAAACACATCCTAGGGAATAATAGGAAATATAGAGCCCCGAACAAGGATATATATTACCTCTAATTGCTATAAATATGAACATTGTTGTAGGTAACCTGCTCTAACACAAAATATAAACATATTATTTGGAGCTTTTAAGCATTATGTAAAATTATGAAAATATGTAATAGTCAATTTTACACCATACCTTCATGGACCGCCGTAGCTGAGGTTGACAATTGCACGTCCTCAAATCAAACGATGCGGGATCGAAACTCGCTGCCGACACATGAAATTAATCACTTGTCAATAAATGAAAAAAAATAGTTCTGTCGATTCCAAGTGGAAATGACTTCATATGTTGGTTCAGGATAATGTATAGTTGAAAAACAACTCTCAATTATTGAAAAATAATGGAGCGTTCAAACAATAGAATGTGTTTTAATATCTCTAGTGCTATTACCAATGGCATTGTACTGCCACTATCTTCTACGGAAGCCTTCTAGGACCTTTTTTTTATTATTTTCTTGAAATTCCAGCTAATCTATCTTGAAATTGAATACTAACTTGATAATTCAAGATGTTATGTAGAAATTTCAAAGTACATACTAAGTTGAAACTTCAAGATAATGATCTTGAAATTTCAACTTATGTATCTTGACATTTCCACATAGCATCTTGAAATTTCTCAACTTAGCATCTTGAAACTCCAACACAGCATCTTGAAATTTCAACTTATTATCGTGTTTCAATGGAATGTTGGTATTATCATGCTAAAAGCTATTTAATGTTTAAGAAGTTGTAAAATACGCAAATTTTAATGTAACTTATTATTTGCATAATTAATTAGGTACAAATTCACGTTGTTTCTATAAAATGTAAAATAAAGAAAGTCTTTCTCTCTGAAACGGGTGACGAACGAAACTGTCTTCAAGTTCACTGTAAATCACGTGTGCATTTGATATGAGGCCATGCTGCCACACAAGCCCAATCCTACAGATCGGCAAATCCTGACATCACGTTTCCAGCCGGTTGCCTGATTCTACCAGGCATCGTTGTGGTTTAATCATTGCTGACAATCACCTTCGCTGATCAGGCAAGTCTCCGCTACCCGTGCCCCGGGCAATGGCAGTCTCCAAGGAGTCGTGTTATCGGTGACAAACCTCGCCGCGCCAGCCGTGGACAGATGTGTGAGGGAAGGGACATAACTCCTGCTGGCTTCGTGCATTGTTTCACCTGACTGTCGACATAGGGAGTCCACTAACACACCTTGTGTGACGAGCTGTGATTGACAGTCAGCTGTGGGGACAGATGTGGGACGGGACGTGATTTGGGGGATCTGCCTCACCTAGGACAACAGGTTAATTGGGCGGAAGGCAAGAGTAGAACTTGTTATTGTTAACGATCTCGTCTAATTCACCATTTTCCTGTGAGGGAAGTCATGTTTAGAATAAGAGATTGTTTATACATGTGTGTTCATTTCAACGAAAATTATTTTACTCTAATAGATGATCAACTATATGTCTGTCTGTGATCCGGTTTGAGTAAACAGGTGAAATCACAAAATATCGACAGCTAGACCATCCCTTGTCCCACCAAACACGTCGTACGTGTACTGTAGTGATGTTCCATAGTTCAACAATATATTATTCAAATGAATTTCTCAAAACGTTGGCAAGTTTTAATTCGATTTTAATCAGCTGAATGTAATATGGCACTGTTTTTTAAGCATAGACGGCCACACGATTTAACCTTCAAACGCAGTATTTCCATGCCAAACAATATGAGTATGATTAAGGTGGAATGTACACGAAAGCATTTTAGGACCATTTTTTTATTGAAATTTCAAGATACTAAGTTGAAATTTGAAGACATATACGAAGTTAAAATTTCAAGATAATGATCTTGAAATTAAAAGATAATAAG